GAAAACTTTTTACATACGGGAATGGAAGAGAGACCTGCAACATCACTTTTCCGACACCCAACTTAACCACTTATACCGTCTAATACATACCAGCTCGATTGATACAAAAATGCAAAAAAATAGTTTGAGACTGCTCATTCGCTGGTATCGAGTCCTTCTAAAATAGCTAAGATTTACCCATCTGTGTCTGGCCTATGTTGGAGAGATTGTGGCCATCGCAGTACCTTCCTCCATGTCTGGTGGGAGTGCCCCAAGCTACTTCCCTTTTGGCAAGACATCAGAGATCAAATCAAAACAATCCTTATTATTGATGTTCCTGACTCCTATCTACAATTCCTGCTTCATGTTCCCTCCATTCCTCTCAGCCACTACAGAAAAATGTTCTCCCGCTTCTTTTTAATGCAGCATGCTGCTTGATACCAATGTATTGGAAAAAGTCTCAGGTTCTTGTTTGAGCTGAGTGGAGCAAGTTGGTGAATAATGTGATGGAGACGGAGGAATGGATGGCCACATGTAAGGACAGATACAGGTTTTATTCCATCTGGGCTACATGGATTCACTACACTTCAGGGTCCTCACAACTCCCCCTTCAGGGCCTTCCTGATGCTGAGGAGCAGGGGTGCTGCAACCTTAAAAGGCCACTTACCCCCAGGGTACTTTCTCATATGCTCTGATGTACTTGAATCCATATGATATCTGAATTTAAATTTTCGTATGTTTAAGCCTGAGTCAGACCTATGAGCCAGTCCTTATTGTAGATCTTCCTATGTAACAGAGCGGTTTAGAGTGTGTCTTTTTTCCCCTCCTCTCCCCTTCCTTTTTTCTTCTTTTATTATTGTTGTTGCTTGCCTTTTTGTTCTGTTCCTGTTTTTCCTTTTATTGCTCATGGATCTTATGTACTCATCACAGCATAAGCCAAATGATGGCGGAATGACCTCTGCTGCGTATTTAATTTTGTGGAGAATTTCACCCTGATGCCGATATTACACTCAATGTTAGCAATGATACATGCTACCACTGTTACCCGAACTCGTATATATGGAACTGTTTTTTTTTTTTCTATATGAAAACCTTTGCTTGAAAATAAAGATTATTTTAAAAAAAACTTGTTTCTCATGAGCTTATTTTACTCCAATTACTTTAAAATAAACACCATGAATTATGTTGCAACCCTTCATATTGATCTTTGTATACAGTAGGGCAATAGCGTATTTTGGTTTTGAGCTGCCCCAGGCAAGACTGAAATCTGGCGCCATCCATCTAAATTTGCCCCACCCCTTCCTGTTTAAGGCCCACCCCTTAATCTTTACGCCCCACCCGTCATCCTAGGCTCCACCTCCTCCTATTAGTGCTTCATCTCAGAAGTTAGTCAGAGACTGCAGACATGATAAAGGAGATGGTCAAGCACTGCAGACATACTACAGGAGATGGTAAGAGACTGCGGACAGGATACAAGAGAAGGTCAGAGACTGCAAACATGTTACAAGAGATGGTCAGAGACTGCGATTACCATACAAAAGATGGTCATAGACTGCAGTCATGATACAGGAGACAGTCAGAGACTGTGGATAGGATACAGGAGACGGTCAGAGACTGCGGACAGGACACAGGAGACGGTCAGAGACTGCGGACATGATAAAGGGGACAGTAAGAGACTGTGGACAGAATACAGGATATGGTCAGAGACTGAGGACAGGATACAGGAGATGTAAGTATACTGCAAAAGTAATGAAAGAGCTAAAAAAATACCTCTGTGAGGACCCATCAGATGCCAGGTTTGTGAAATATATAGAAAACCTCTGCTTTTCAGTGTGGGCCTGCCCCTCCAGATGAGCATAACCCACCCCCACCTAAGCACAGCTGAGACTGCCCCTCCTGCCAAACACAGCCCAACCCACCCTCCTCCCAAGCACACCTGAAACCGCCCCCCTGTCCGATCACAGCCGAACCCACCCAACGCCAGAGCACAGCCAAACCTGCCCTCCACCTAAGCACAGTTGAGCCTGCCCCCTGCCTAAACATAGCCGAACCCACCACCAGCCTGAGCACAGCCGATCTGAGACGACTCTCCTTGCTCAAGCCAAGCAGAGCCTGCCCGCGCCCAATACAGTCCGCCCCTGGCAGGGGAGACAATTGACGCAACTGGTCCCTTCTGCTTGGGGGGTGGCGCTGTCCCCCTGAAAGATACCACCCAAGGCAAATGCCTTGTTTGCCTCGCAGCAGATACTCCCCTGTAGTAGGGTTGCACCAAAGCCAGTATCGGTATCAGTGCTGATACTAAGCATTTGCACAAGTCCAATACCTAAAATCGATACCTTTGTGGTGCGATTTGAGCCCATACAAAATGAATGGGCTCAAATCGCACTGCAAAGAATCTCATGTAATTCAAACAGGAATAAGGTGCAATTCCTGTCTGAATCACGTGTGGTTTTCCCCACCCGTATGAGCCCAGGCTTGTCATAGTGACTTTAGCCTGGGTTCAAATGGGAGCGGTGTGGGAAACCGCATATGATTTGGACACGAATTGCACCATATTCCTGTTCAGATCATATGCAATTCTTTGCAGTGCAGTTTGAGCCCATTCATTTTGTACGGGCTCAAATCACAGCACAGAGGTATTGGTAATTGGTATTGGTGAGCACTTGAGCACAAGTATTGGTACTCATACTTGCTTGGAAAAAATAGGTATTGGTGCATTCCAAGTATATAAGAAATGGAAGTGAGAAACCCTCCTATTGATTTTGCACAGTATTATTCCATTAGACAAGAGGCAAGTGCTGATTCAACTGGCTGTTAGGAATGGTTTGTGTGCAGTGTATATGTGTCACATTCACATGAGGAGGGGCTCCAGGGATGATGACTGATGTGGTGAAAACAAACTTGTTTTCTCAGAGTCTTCAACATTATATTAAGCTCATTACGGGGTCTGGAGCCTGGAGGACTTGAAGAGTTTTGGGTGAGATAAAGCCTTCATTCCTAGGTTCATGTCTGTCCTGGTATCCAAGCCTCACTTTTAGTATCAGCTCTGCACAGGAATTTATATATGTGAGCGGATAGAAGCTCAGGACTTTCTCTTCTCTTTGCTGTCGGAGCCTACTGCTTTGTGAAAAGGCATACAGAGTGCTGACAGAAAACTAAAAAGGTTCAAGAGCTACCGGTTTGTTCTGGGGAACCATTAGAGGGCACCCTGTTATTACGTAACTTACATTTGCTGTACAAATACCCCCTGCATTGAAAGGACAGTGTGTGCAGGGCTGCCTCAGAAGAGGTTCTGCTGTATAGTGCTGGCTGCATGGACTTTACTCTGCTGTTCCAGAGTCTTGCTGTTCCAGAAATCTGCTGATCCTTAGACCTGTTGTTCCAGAAGGATTGCTGCAAGGCTGGCATTGAGTATAAGAGTTACTGCTCTTAACATTTCCATTTATTTACAGTACATTTGATTTTGTGAGGTGTGTTTAACATACAGTATTGCAGTGAATTACTGCCTGTTTGTTGCCTTTCTTTTTCAGGGCATTTTTACCCAATAAAATATGGTGATTGAAAACCCCAGGTGTTCCAGTAAGTCCAGGTACTATCTGAGCAGGTCATCACCTACAAATCAATCAACCAATTGTCCAATCAACCCACAGCTCCTCAGGGGTAGTACTACACTAGGCAGGCTACATTTGCATGCAGACCTCCCTAGGGAATGCCTACATATGATTGAAAAAACTAAAATCTAATTAATGAAAGGGGCAGATGAAGGACAGTCAAGTGGGAAATGAAAGGGCTAGATGATACCAAACATCCTTCAGCCAGGAAACGATTCATGTTCTGACTTGCTGAAGGTTCTAATGCACACTGTGAGAAGTCTCAGTGTACTGTAAAATCAGCCAACAATTTTAGTACATGAGAGGAGCTTGTATCGCTGTGCAAGACTGAAGGCTGGAGTTCAACTTTAACTTTGCTAAGACTAGAGCCTCCTCTCCTTTAGTAAACAAACCCTACTGTGTATCAAGAGTTTTGCTTCCTGTCTGCAACAATTGTTCATTGTATGTTTTTATAAAACCAGTTTTGTACATTTAACAGTGCTTTAAAGACACATAACAGCTTTCTATTATAGGTTATGTATATGTTTTCCTGTAACTAAAAAGAGAGTTTAATTTTTTTCATTTATTTGAGTGGAGATTGCTGATCATTTTAGAGGCACAGTCAATACTACCAGTAAACAGTACCAAGAAGTTCTTATGACTTTACCTAACCAATCATTTCTTCACCAAGAGCACTATTTTAATTGGGAGCTCAATTGACTAAGGAAAAAAGGCAAGAAAAAAAGGCTGTGTCAAGAGCTTCGTCTGTGGCTCTGAAAGTCGTGATGCTTCCCTTTGTTCAAACAGAAGATAAAGATGGATAGAAAGACATTTGCAGTATATTATAATAACCGGTTTTATTGATTCTGCCATCTAAACATGTGGGAGATGAGACATTCTTTTGTACTGTGAGAAGCACAGGCAAAATCATTTATTCCCTTTTTTTCCAATCAATGCGTACCCCCAGGTCTTACATAGTGCTATTATTTTTGTGTGTTTTTTTTTATCTTCCAGTATCTTTATTTTAATCATAAAAAAAGAAAGAAATGAAATGCCTTATACTCCTAATTATTTTGTTTCCAATTCATTTATTAACAGAGGCGTTTTTGAAAAATGTCAATATATAATAATAAAATATAATATAATAATATACTATATTTTATAGATATATAAAAACAAACCAAATCAGGCCCGTTGTACTCTAACATATTTTTACAGATATGGCTTGGTCCTTGTGTGGTAACATCGACTAAGACTCTTTAATCACTTCCTGTCCAGCTCATGTATATAAACGGGCAGACGGGAGCAGTGCAGGAGTGGGTAGCCGTTTATAAACGTCCTCCTGCTTCCCTGCCAGTGCATGCTCCCTAGGAGCATGCAGCACCGCGATCTGGTGCCTGAGACCTCTGTGTGAGGTCCCGATCATGTGATCACTGATTGGCCAATCAGTGATCACATGCAGAGTAGTAAGCAAGATGTCACTTCTGACATCATTGCTTACTATGTGTGAAATCTGCGAATGATCACAGAGGTCACATGGTACAAGGCTATTCACAACAGCCTTGTACCATGTGACAAGCTGTGACCAATCACAGCTCTCACAGTATTTCTCAATCGCTGCAAGAATGCAGCCAGAGAGAGAAGGAGAAGAAATGATTGCTTTTACAGCCTTTATGGGTGTAAAAGCAATCAGTGTAATAAAAAAAAAAATCTTCATCACCCCCCACAAATCGTACAGTGTCACTATTGTTAAGTATATTAACTTGTGAGCCACTGGAGTTAATAATTATTGTATTAGGTCACTGGTTTCCTTGCTCACCTTCATATAATGTGTGCTAAAATGGAAAATAATTAGTAAATAATGTAATGTAAATAATGTGTTGTGTAAAAATAATGACAACTCGTAAATTGCATCACCTTAACGGGTTAAATTGTAATCACACAATATAACACCAAAAAAGAAATACCCATATATAAATAAAGAAATATAAAAAAAATATAAATCCAATTGTTATATATAATCAATATAAATAAAAATATTTAAAAAATATTTAGTTTATTTAGTCCAGTGTGCAAGCGTTGTGAGTAAAGTTCAGCAGAGAATGTAATTAACAATATACTCTCCTTCCAAGCAGCTTGTAGTTGTGTTGCTGGGATCCTGCAGCCCCTCTATGAGCCTGTATAGGTGTAAGGGTTTCTCCCTCCTTGAACCACTCCTTACTCCAATTCTCTATATATCCTCGTATAACCCATGAAAGAAAGGAATGAAAATATGGTGCCTTATCCAAGAGGTATAAAAAGAGCCTTTAATGTGCTCCCATAATGCACTCACATTATTCTATTTAAAATGCGCTTGTAATACAATTAACCGCTGAATGCGGTGAGGATCAGCCTCGTGGGTGTGTTGACACACACCGTCAGTACTCGCCGTGTTGATGGTCAGATGCGTGGTGACATCATGGCCCCTCCCCAACCACAGGGAAAACGTAGCTTCGTCTGAGGGATGTAGTAAGACGAGCACCATATCTCGGCTTCTTAAATAGTGTTAAAGCGCCATTTTGTTGTAGTTTTACTGGGCGCGGCCATAATTTTGGGGTCAAACTTAGCAAAGAACATCACTAACTTTGTATCTGTTTTGTTACTTTAACCATTAGCCGCCCGGCCAATAGCCGTTTGGCGGCTTCAGATGCGCTCCTCCATTCCGGGTGCACGCCATTTGGCGTGCTCCCGCACATGTGCCGTTTGCGCTAGTGCAGAGCGGAGCAGCAGTGCGATCTGTCGGCGGCCGTGCACCTCGGACATGGCCGATGACAGATCCGAGTACCGGCTCCCATTGCTGGTACCATGTGACCTGCTGTGACCAATCACAGCAGGTCACATGACAGTTGTATACATGGATGGCTTCATTCATGATGCCATCCATTGTATACTAGTGCCTAGCTGTGAATGGTCACAGCTAATCACATGCACATGTCATGTGATTAGCTGTAACCAAATCACAGCTAAGCACAAAAAAAAAAAAAAAAAAGCTGAATGAATCGATTTCATTCAGGTAAATGCTTGCTTATAGCAAAGTAATTCTTTGCTATAAGCAAATTGTGTACAAAAAAAAAAAAAAAAAAATACTGATCACTTCCCTAAAGTAGTACAATGTTACTATGGTAACATTGTACTATTTTGGTCATAGTAAAATATGAAAAAAAATCTTAAAAAAAAAAAAAAAATGTAATAAAAAATTAAATATAATAAAAAAAAAATAAAAAAAAAAAAAAATATATATATTTTTCATACTGTCACCAGTCAGTGTCCCTGTTCACCGCCATGCCAGTTATATGATGACGCTGTACTGCACTGGTGACAGTATGTAAAAAAAAAAAAGTGAAAATAATTTTTTTCATTTTTTCATTATCGGAAAAATTATGACAAAAAAATACAACTTCACAAAACTCGCCATGCCTCTTATGAAGTACGTCGGACTGTCTACTCTGCAAAAAGGGGTCATTTGGGGATATCTGTACTTTTTTTGTTAATTTAGCAAAAAATAAAAACCCCAGCAGTGATTAAATACCACCAAAAGAAAGCTCTAGTTGTGTGTGAAGAAAATGATAAAATTTTAGTTTGGGTACAATGTTGTATGACCGCGCAATTGTCATTCAAAGTGTGAGAGCGCTGAAACCTGAAAAATGGCCTGGGCAGGAAGGTGTAAAATTGCACGGTATTGAAACGGTTAATGACAGCGTGTGTTCTACACTCCTAGGTGGATCCAACAAATAAAAAACATATGTAGATACATATGTACTGCTAGGGTAACAGTATGTTAAAATTAAAAAAAAAAATAATAACATAAAACAATAAAATAAAAATGTAAAAAACATTTTTTGAAAAATTATAATTTTTGGTTATAAACTAATTTGGGTTATTTATTTTTTTTACTAAAAAGATGGCTGAATACATTTTGGCCAAGATTTATGAAAAAAGATTATTTATTTGCAAAAAAACTTTTTTTTCAAAATGTTTGGACATTTTCATTTACAGTCAGGTCCATAAATATTGGGACATCGACACAATTCTAACATTTTTGGCTCTATACACCACCACAATGGATTTGAAATGAAACAAACAAGATGCGCTTTAACTGCAGACTGTCAGCTTTAATTTGAGGGTATTTACATCCAAATTAGGTGAAGGGTGTAGGAATTACAACAGTTTGCATATGTGCCTCCCACTTGTTAAGGGACCAAAAGTAATGGGACAATTGGCTTCTCAGCTGTTCCATGGCCAGGTGTGTGTTATTCCCTCATTATCCCAATTACAAGCAGATAAAAGGTCCAGAGTTCATTTCAAGTGTGCTATTTGCATTTGGAATCTGTTGCTGTCAATTCTCAAGATGAGATTCAAAGAGCTGTCACTATCAGTGAAGCAAGCCATCATTAGGCTGAAAAAACAAAACAAACCCATCAGAGATAGCAAAAACATTAGGCGTGGCCGAAACAACTGTTTGGAACATTCTTACAAAGAAGGAACGCACCGGTGAGCTCAGCAACACCAAAAGACCCGGAAGACCACAGAAAACAACTGTGGTGGATGACCGAAGAATTCTTTCCCTGGTGAAGAAAACAGCCTTCACAACAGTTGGCCAGATCAAGAACACTCCAGGAGGTAGGTGTATGTGTGTCAAAGTCAACAATCAAGAGAAGACTTCACCAGAGTGAATACAGAGGGTTCACCACAAGATGTAAACCATTGGTGAGCCTCAAAAACAGGAAGGCCAGATTAGAGTTTGCCAAACGACATCTAAAAAAGCCTTCACAGTTCTGGAACAACATCCTATGGACAGATGAGACCAAGATCAACTTGTACCAGAGTGATGGGAACGGAAGAGTATGGAGAAGGAAAGGAACTGCTCATGATCCTAAGCATACCACCTCATCAGTGAAGCATGGTGGTGGTAGTGTCATGGCGTGGGCATGTATGGCTGCTAATGGAACTGGTTCTCTTGTATTTATTGATGATGTGACTGCTGACAAAAGCAGCAGGATGAATTCTGAAGTGTTTCAGGAATATTATCTGCTCATATTCAGCCAAATGCTTCACAACTCATTGGACGCCGCTTCACAGTGCAGATGGACAATGACTCAAAGCATACTGCAAAAGCAACCAAAGAGTTTTTTAAGGGAAAGAAGTGGAATGTTATGCAATGGCCAAGTCAATCACCTGACCTGAATCCGATTGAGCATGCATTTCACTTGCTGAAGACAAAACTGAAGGGAAAATGCCCCAAGAACAAGCAGGAACTGAAGACAGTTGCAGTAGAGGCCTGGCAGAGCATCACCAGGGATGAAACCCAGCGTCTGGTGATGTCCATGCGTTCCAGACTTCAGGCTGTAATTGACTGCAAAGGATTTGCAACCAAGTATTAAAAAGTGAAAGTTTGATTTATGATTATTATTCTGTCCCATTACTTTTGGTCCCCTAACAAGTGGGAGGCACATATGCAAACTGTTGTAATTCCTACACCGTTCACCTGATTTGGATGTAAATACCCTCGAATTAATGCTGACAGTCTGCAGTTAAAGCACATCTTGTTTGTTTAATTTCAAATCCATTGTGGTGGTGTATAGATACAAAAATGTTAGAATTGTGTCGATGTCCCAATATTTATGGACCTGACTGTATATAGCAAAAAAAGAAAAATCCCAGTGGTGAATAAATACCACCAAAGTAAAGTTGTATCTATCTGAAAAAAATGCTAAAAAATTAATATGGGTACAGTGTTGCATGACCGCGCAATTGTCAAAGTGTGACAGCACTAAAAGCTGAAAATTGGCCTGGACAGGAAGGGGGTAAAAGTGTCCGGACTTGAAGTGGTTAAACAAGAGTCATAACACACCAAGAATGGTCTGTCAACACTCCACCTCCCAAAAAACACAATTTAAGGTATGTATAATCCATAAAAAGCTTCCAAAAACCTTTTAATTAAGTTTTGCAAAAAATTGCAGGATCAGCGCTTTAATGATGGATGTGGTCTTCATCGGAATCAGGACACCAACTTTCATTGGAGGACTGTCAACTCTGCGAATTAACCTGACAAAATCATTGTAAGGACATGCATATAGCATAAAACATATTCAATATTAACAAATATACAAAGAGCACTCTAGGTGGCACTCAGAGATGCAGAGAAGCATTGTGGGGGACGTGACTAAGTGTGCCATGGACTCTTCTGGTTCAGTGCCATACACTACTGCAGTATGGCTTAATCGCAGGCTCAGGATTACTAATATTCATTCACCGTTTCTGTGTTCACCTCACTGTCTGACGCAGCGCCCAAAGCTCCTGAGTGATGCTGAGCCTGACAAAAGTACACGCTCTGCATTAATGAGCAGAGCAGGTACAGTCATCTAGATCCAGTTCCTTGGGTTCAAGGCAACCAGCCTCTCGGTTATTTCTGCTGGTAAGAGGATATAAAAGGATATACAGTATAGGTTGGCTAGTAAAGTCTAGAGCAGGGGC